AGTAGTAAGTCGATTTAATTGTTTCTTGAATGTTTAGGGTTTTTTTCTTTTCTTATTTTTTTTTGGTGAAAACAGTCGTCGATATCTCATTTTCCCCTTTTAAAGTTATATCTTATGGTTCCGAGCAATGCTCCAGTTGTATTTCGATCTCGAGGTGTTGTGTATATGCATCAAATCCCTGCACCCTTGCCGTTTTCCCCTTACTGTCACCGAACCCCTTCCTCCTTGTTGCCGCCACCCAGAACAACCCCTTCAATGGTTGTTTCTAGCTTGCAAGTTGCCCCTTGCCACCAACGCAGAGGTCCAAACCCTAATATAGTGTTGTTGTTTTGTTGCAATTTCAAATTTCCCTGTTATTAATTGTAATTCGAGGCTTTGAATTTAGTTATAATATTTGTTTTCCCTTGGGTATTTGTTAAATTTAGTCACCTCTACTATTCAATAGATGTTTATTGCGTCCCGAGCAAAACCCCACAATTCTGGCTTAAAGCAAATGTTAACGGGGCATTGCATCCTAAACATTTGGGCAGTTCCAGGATCGTAATTAGAATTGAAAAGGGAAACTTATTAGCATCTGGCACTCATTGGGAAACACTGCAACAGTGCACAAGTCGAGCCCTTGGATATCTCCCCCATAAAGGTCTCATTATAGAAGGAGATAATAGAAATATCGGCTTCCTCACATTAATCAGGCATGCTCTATTTTAACATGCAGGCAAAGAAAAGAATGAGGCAGCCAATTGTTGCGCACAGATAGCACTACAATGAAGCTTTTTTTTACTAAGAATTTAAATGAATATCAATATTTTTTTTATTAGCTTTGATAGTTCTCATGCAATTGCCTAACCGACATCTTTTTTGTATTTTGCCTTCTTAAAAAAATACTATAAGCACCACTTCTATAGAAATATATATAAATATATATATAAACAATAAATAATTATATGAAAAAGATTAATAAATTTATTAGATTAGTTTATAAATATTGTACAAGTCATTTCTCTAATGTGTAAGGACGTGATTGTGTACATAGTTTATTGATTTAATTTATAATCCACTAATTTAGTTAATGGGCTAATTGCAAGGATTTGAATTACTAGCATTTTAATTGTACAAGTCATTTCCCTAATGTGTAAGGACATAATTGTAAGCATAGTTTACTGATTTAATTTCTAAGCCTCTATTTTAGTTAATAGGTTAATTGTGAAGATTAGAATAACAAGATTTCAAAATAACTCTCGTTGTCCCCCCTAGTTATCTTAGTTTATTATAAATATGTTGTTATTGGGTTTTAAGGTTTAGTTTGTTTGAGATTTTTTTGTTTAGATAACCTTTGTAGTCCCTCTTTTTCCTTATAAGGTTGTATCCAACGGCAACAAGGCGCTCCAGCTATAAGTAGCCTGAGGTGGTGTGTATCTTCCCCTTTTCTCCCTGCTGTCATCTTCCTTACTCTCACATCCACCAATTTCTCTCTGCCCCAAACCGTTGTTACCACAATCCATGTCAACCTCATTCCCTCAACCCCCTACTGGCCGCAACCCCTCTACCTTCCCACATGTTGCCTTAATTCCTTCCCCTACAATCTAACCTGTTGTCATAGCCCCGTCTCTAGCCTGCCTAATCCTGCGACCACCCCCTACTTACCTTCCCGCAATTGTCCCAATCCCAACCTACCCTATCTACCTGTCATTCAGCCGTCACCCATCCTCTTTGTCATTGCCCTAGGGTGTCTTTTTTATGTGTGTTATTGTTTATTTCCTATTTTGAAGAATTGTCATTGTAACCATTTGAATTTTGATAATAAGATTTGCATGTCTATTATGACTTTAAGTTAACTCCAGTATCAACTAATATCAGAACTAGTCTAACCCTAGTCCTATTCTAGGGTTTCCAAGCAACTACCTTACCCCATCAACCAAAACTATTCTTTTATATTCTCAAACCATAACCAAACCTTGACCTAATACTAATGTCGTCTCGCTAATTTTCAAAATGAACAAACCTAAATCTATTTTCACACCCTATTTCACCTCCCAACTCTAAACTCTAATCATATCACAAAGGAGAGACATGTTCGAGCCTATCCGAGAAGAGACACAGCGAGAGATCCGTTGAATTCAGCAGAGGCTTAAAGATATGGAGAATGAAACCCAGGCAAAAATTAACCTCAATCATGACAGGGAAAGAAATGAGAATTTCAACCCCTTCCATGGGGAGAATTTCAGTGATGAAAAAGAAAGACATCGATGCTTTGGAATCCATTATCAAAGGAGGCGGAGTGAGGAAGCCACAAGTTGAGGACACATGGATTTCAAAATAAAGGTGGATCTACGAAAGTCCAGTGAAGATATGGATCCAGACAACTTTATTGAATGACTACAATCAGTTGAGAGGATCTTTGTCGGAAGATAAAAGGGTGAAGCTTGCAGCAATCAAATTAAAAAACACTCTTTGTGGATGAAAACTTGCAGAGGCGGAGGAAGAGAGAAGGTAGTGACAAGAATATCAAAAATCAGAGGATGAGGAAGGCGATGTAGAGAAAATACCTACCGCCTACTATCGTCAGCATAGATTTTTGAGACTCCACCTACAGTAGAGAGACCTATCAATGAAGGAGTTTGTGGTGCAGTTTGACCATATGCATATGAACTGTGATTTGGTCGAGCCAAAAGAACACATGGCCAGTTATCTAGGGGGTCTGAAGCCCACCACCAGTGATGTTGTACAGTTGCAGCCCTATTGGTCACTAGGAGATGTCCAGACCTTAGCCCCAAAGATGGAAAGACAACAGAGACAGAGCAGTCAACCACCCACAGTTGGAGACATCAGCAAAGGCGCGCCTAAGGGAGTTGAGAAAACCGGTCTGGATAAGGACAGAGTCGCCCTGAGTGAGAAGAACCCCAAGAAGAGTAGCACGCCTACTACAATCCCAGCCCGAAAAAGCTTTTGATGCCATGAATTTGAGCACATCGCCTCTAATTGCCCAATGAGCTAAGTCGTGTCTTTTATTGAGCAAAGCACCGTGGAGGAGGTTAGTGACGAGAGGAAAGCTAAGGAACATGATGGAATGCATCATCTTCGACCGAATGAAGGAGAGACGCTCGTGGTTCGATGGGTCTTACAAATTGAAGATACGAGAATTCCAGAGTGATTTCACCATAACATATTCTACATCTATTGCACTGTGAACGGAAAGGTATGTAGTCCCATCATAGTGATAGAGGGAGCAGTAAGAACGTGACATCTATACAGATGACAAAAAACTTGGGCGTCATGACTCAGAAGCACTCCCAGCCGTATTCTCCTGTTATGGAGGTATGCTTGCAAGTGGAGAAAATTTCTTAGGTATTTTGGGGGACAATGCAGTCACCAGCGGAATCCAGGTGCTTTTAGGACCGCAATAGAGAAGCATTCAGCCCTGGGAAGTTACAACAACACTAACAACGGATCAGAAGAAGCTTCGATGAATAAGGTCAAAGCTCCCCAATTTTGGGAGACTGACACGGAGATACAGGAGCTGTACCGAGATTTGGTTCAGCAAGAGTTGTCGTTTCAGCAGAGAGGCTGAATTGGTCGGCCCTAATTAGGATTAGCAGAGCTATCGCCTCCTCCAATAGTTATCTTAGTTCAATTTTGTTAAGATTTTTGTTTGGACAGCTTCCACCATCCCTCTTTTCCCTTCTAGGGGTATATTTGACAGCAAAAAGACGCTCTAGCTGCAACTTCTCTAAGGTGGTTAGTATTGTCCCCTTTTCTCTATCTTCTCTGCACTCTGATCCACCCATTTCTCTCAGCCACCAATCCAGGAACCCCACTGTTGTTGTCGTACTACACTCCAACCCACTCAAAACTGTCGACAACCCCTCTATTCTCCTAATCAGCCACTGTAGCCCCTTCCCCCTACACATCTATAGTTGCCTCAACCGTCCTCACCCCCTGCTGTTACCGCAATGCATGCCAACCTCATTCCCTCAACCCTCTATTGGCTACAACACCTCTATCTTCCAATCAACTGCCTTAATTCCTTTCCCCCCTATCCAACCCGCCTAATCCTATCGCCACCTTATACTTACCTTCCCACTGTTGTCCCAACCCTCACCTGCCCTATCTAATTATCGACCAGCCACCACCCATTCCATTCATCGTCGCCCTAAGGTGTCTTTCTACGTGTATAATCGTTTATTTCCAGTTTTGAAAAGTCATCGTTGTAACAATTTGAACTTCAGCAATAAGAATTACATGTCTACTGTGGTCTTGAGTTAACTCAGGTATCAAGTAAGCGCTAATGAGCTACTCTCATGTCTTTCTCAACACTGAAAAGTTTCAGAAGATAATTCTTTAGGAAAAGCTCACATTTTTTGGTTCCATGTGGATAAAATAAGCAAGCACTAACGCTTGTGTCATTGAAAAATTCAACACAATTATATTTAGCATACAAAAATTTAACATCATCTATGAAAAACAACCCCTAGTTTCATAATTTCAATGCTCCTTGCAACACCAATGTCCATTGATTAACCCTCAACTTCTTGATGAAAAAGTGCACCAACAGTGGGACTCTCTCTTGAGGTGAGGCTCGGTTTCATACAATCTCATCAAAACCCTTCCCCAAAACCTTTTTTATGTTGAGTATCGAGCAAAAATTTCATTATCCAATAGGATGTCCAAATTTCTATAAATAAAATGAAATGATCCAATTTCTTCATTATTTCCATCACCGAGCAACGTCCCCCCATATCAAAGTATCAACTACAAAATTACTATAGCCATTTTGAGACAATCAATAGAGTTCATCCACTTAATAACACTGAGGATCCTCAACCCCATGCTTCAAAAATATATACCCCTGACACTGTAAATTCTTCTTATGATCATTGAAACCAAGGAATCCCAAACATTCACAGGAGGGAGAGCATACCCCTCCACCTCTAGCTTGGATTAATTTACTTCCCCAAAATCATACCCGAAATGAATTTTGCCTTCTTTTTTATGAGGAATTCCTAGATGGGGAAAAAATCATTCTCCATCAATGTCATAACCTCATGAAAGAACTCCCCCAATGCATCAAATTCATGACCAGCCAATTTTGCATGGATTAAAAATTCTACCTATTAATTCATATGAAGCAATCAATGATGCATCTAATTAGCAAACAAGAAAGCTACTTCCTTAATACAAATCACCTCAAAATTAACCATATCATAGTTCAGAACTAATTTAAAATAAGTACCACTACAAGTGTTGAGAACAATGACTTAACCAAAAGAAGAAAGATACTTTTCAAGGCATTTTAGAAAGTAAAATGACCAAATTCAATAGCTCACCTGATCATACAAGAGAGAGGCTTTATCAAATCGCTTTCGAGCATCCTGCACCAATTTGAGATTATTAAACTGATGCATATCATAAATAGCCCATTTTTTGGCTAAAGTATTATAGAATAATGCACGTAAGCACATGAAGAAACTTAGATTCTCCCATATGACAGGAAGAATCAAATCTAGTAACCACGGTCACCAATTAAGAAATGAATTATAAACTGAGGGAGTTACACAACTAAAAAGTTCAAAATTTTCATTTAGATCATGTGAGATTTGATTCCTAATTAACTTCTTTTTGTTATGTCTAAGAACTGTAGAGCCAACTGAGCTAGTTTGATGCTGACTGAGTTCCACCTGTCTGAGATAATAATAAATAAACAAGTCAAAATAAATTACATCCTATGGCAGAAAGCAAGCACCAGTAAAGACAAATCCATCTGAATCACTCAATCAAACAAGAATTGACTTGTAAAATTAGTGCATTATGCATTCTGAGATTGCAGCAGTGGTTAGTGGTTAAGCAGAACCCCTTATTTAACAAGTGACTGAGCCATATGCCTTGAGGCTCACCTCGAATTGAGGCACGCAAAGGAAATTTCGAGGCTTAAACCTTCCTGTCACTGATAAGCTTAAGCATTTTTCATCAAAGGCATACTCCTCGACGCATTTCAAGAAATGCCTTGATCAAATTATGCAAAAAATTATATTATAATATATTAATAATATATATTACATTACATTATATTATATTATATTATATTATATTCTGTTATATTATATTATCTTATATTACGATACGATATGATATCATACCATACCATACCATAGCATACCATAATATATTTAATATATCTGATACAATGCACATCCAAAAAGGTCAATAGATAATTTAATTATGATTCTATGGCTATGTTATTAATTTATTCTTTTATTTTAAATTAAATTTATAATATTAATTTACAGATCGAAGAAAATTGTAGTGACTGAAAAACCCGAGACAAAAATTAAATGAAAATGAATATGATGAAAGCAAGGATGGGGCCATTATGAATCTTGATATCCATCAAATATTTAAATTTTAAGTAAATACTTAACTAAAATTATATTTCAAACTTCTATTTTATATTAATATTTAAGATTAAGCTTTGTGGTTGATGTATTTTTGATAATAAACTAAATCAATATATCAATAATTCGGGTCATATTTATGAATTATTTTTATTTTTATGAGTTTTTTTTTCCACTTTGAAGCTTATAACTCGAGATTTATGCCTCACCTCGTTAAAGCAAACTGACTCAATTCCTGATTTCACCTTTTTAAACCTTGGTATAGCCACATGATTACGATGACTTCAATGACAAGTTGGCATCCAACATTGTTAAGTACATTTTAGAAGCAAATGCGAAGAAAAAAAAATTGCTGAAAAATATAGTCCTAAATCATATTTTATGCATCCTTAGAAAATTAAAAAATTCATACCAGTAGAAGGTTTATATTTGTATCAGAGTTGACAGAAATGCTTGAGCCACATTTAATTCTCAAACAAAGGAACCATATATAATCAAACAACTGATGTACCTTAACATCATGCAAATCAATGTCAACAAACTGCAGCAACCGATCATTAAGCATGTGCTCAACCTAGAGAAGAAAATCAACAAAGAACCACTGAGAACGAAACTTGATATAAGCACTGCACAATGAGTCGTCAAATAAAACAAAAATCAAAATCTTTAAAACAATTACTGAAGGATTCAAGAATCTTAACCTGAGAACGGAGAACTTCTTTATACGTTCCAATTTCCCTTAAAGCGATCGTAAATTTAGTCATAACAGGTCCTATAAAGGTTAAGAATACAGAAAATAAGCATGCTATTAGATGTAATCATTGATGTTACATGCCAAGTTAAAATCCTAAGAATTCAACTACAATCATGTCAAAAGAACTAAATGAAGAGGCATTTACATACATACCAGCAATTCTTATGCATTTAAATATCTAACCACTGTACTTCAATTTTACATTTATGCCATCCAAATCTATCATATCCCATTAAGAAAGCCACTATTTGTACAAATTTTCATGCATAGATAAAGATGTCATATATAAAAATTGAAGTTTAGTTGTTAGATATGTAAATACATAGGAATTAAGTGTTATTTATATAAAACTTCCTTGAACGAAATCAGAACGGAGCAACAATAACAAATAACTACATGACACTATGTAAGTAATGATCAATGATGACAGCAATCTCCTTTTACGATGATCTTGAACATGAGTTGGAATAGAAAAAAAGAAACATCACCCGCTAAATGAGATTTCTATTTCCCTGAACTGCAAGGTTAACAGATAACAGCAGAATATGACGTCAACACGACTATGGCAACTACCAATGCGCAACAAGGTCTGGAAGGAACAATGAAAATGGCATATCCTATTATTATTCAAGTAAACAATATTGCCAAAGAATAACCGGAAGCATTACAAGGTATAGTAACCAAAAGAGGAAAATAATAGAATGGATCTACTAAATAAGCAAAGTTGCAATTGCTTATTATAAGATATGATAAACTAGATGATAATTTAGGTGACATCAAATTATGTAGCAAGTTTCCCCAAATAGTTGGAATAAAGCGAATGATGATGAAATACTAAAAAAACATTATGAATCTACCTCCAAATGCAACACTAATGGGATCATTATGACCACCACCAAATGTTTCCAGGGAGCTTGCAAAAGCAATGTCTCCATCATATCCTTCACCAAGCCCTTCACTGAAAATAAAAAACAGTAGTGAAAAGGGAATTCAATTAACCAGAATTTCAAGCAAAATAATAGAAAAATTTTCAGAATGATGGTATTAAATTTTCTCTATGCAAAAAAAAAAAAAACTGATTTAATTCAAGATACCAGATTTAATTCAAGATACCAGAAAATTGTCAAAAGTCCCATACAATTTAGCCCAATAGGATGCAATAAAAACAGACAAAACCATTAAAATTTTTTAAAAAAATGAAATTCACCACAGAACAAGTTGATATCTTCAAAGAAAAACATGTTAAAAATGTAGCACTTTATTCTTGAAACATTTAAGTAAAGCCAAGAGATGCCCAATGCTTATGTGGAAGTCTGATAACAGAAACAATTTTATGGAATTAAACAGAACCGTACAGCATATAACATAGCGTTAAAAGTACAAAAGACAGGGTTACAGTGAATGGAAAGGATACACGAGCCATCTGCATGGATATGTTATCTAAGCTAAAAATTTCATGGGGAGAATAGGATTCCGAGTTCAACAAATAAAGATGAGAATTCTACAACTTAGAAGTCACAAAAAGTATAAGGCATGGGAGTTGAGCATGAATAAATATCGAACTATTTTAGAACAGTAAAAATTTTAAAAATAAGCTAGAAGATAAATTTAAATATAACATGACATCATATTCAATATAATACCATACATATTTTCTAGGCCATTTATTCTCGGTAAAAGTTCACTATATTGATCAGTAATGAGATGAATTTATCTTGAGAAAATTAGCAAGAAATAAAAATTATAGCAAACTATACAAATGAAATAAAAAGGGGACAAATCCATGGATTTCACAAAGAAAGAAATAGGCATAACAATGAGAAGAAAAATGTTAAAATCAGCATACGTGTATTTTCGACAGCCTTTGTAAAACTTAAGGCACCTCTCTCGTAATGACTCTGCACTTTCCTCGAGTGTTTGAATCTGTCAATCATTATAAGAAAACCATTATGCATTACAAGCAGTTACAAAAAGAATCATTTATAAATAAGCACAATAACTAGTTATTAAATGCCTTTAGATGATAAGTAAAATCTTCTTGTCATTGACAGTAAGCGGTCAAAATGAAATGTGACAATCAAATACACTACAAGCAGCTTTATAAAGGATCAATCGGTCTCAAATTTTGAGTAAACTAAACTGCTGAAGCAACAACAATCATTAAAGAAGGGGAATATTGCCATTTACATGTGCTTCATGATCTCGAGCATTTGCTTTCTTAAATTCGGATGGATATCGAAACAATTAAAGTAAATGGCCAAAGATTTTATAAAAAAGTAAGTATTGGGGATTGCTTCTATGTCAACCTTCAGAAACTAACCACAAAACAATGTACCAATCAAAAACTTCCTCCTGAAAAAGAAAGATAATGTCTATTTCGACAAAGAAACTAGCTCTAAATGTCATATAAAGACAGGTAATAACACCATCAATTTGCAAATATGCACTAAGAAAATAAATCCCAGATATTATAAAGTTGATTAATTTAAACTAATATAAAAAAACCTAAGAAAATCCATGCAAACATGGGTGATATGTGATTCTTTAGAGTCAACATGAGAATCCCACATCAGCACTCCTATCATCATAAAGCCAATGACATGGTACTTACAGAAAAAAAGGAAAAGAGTCTAGTGCAATCTGACCAAAAAAAGCCTAATGATAATATGACAATGATCAAAGAAATCTACTGAAAACTGGCCTATCAATTACATTTTTGACATGTATTTGCAAATGATATCTTTATTGGGACGACCCAAAGAAAACCCCAACAATAGCGTAAGAAGATGGTTGAGCAAGTTCTGAGATCTCAATACTAGTGAATATAGTGTATGTTTGTTTTGAAAAATAAAAATGACTAGCCCATGTTCATCTTATGTACATAAGAACCTACAGCTTGAAGAAAGAATAGTGCAAGGATTTCATGAATGACCCCGAGCAAAATAAACCATAAAGATGACCAAAGCAATGGAGGCAGGTCAACAAAAATGGATTTAAGGGGACCACCAAACTCTACAAGTAGCTAATGAGGCAAATGAGCAGAAATAAGGAGTGAAACGATGCACGACCAAAATGACTAGCCCAAAGTAGGTAAGGAGATGAGTGAAACAGATCTGGAAAGAGGAAAAGATCAGTGCCATCCAGAAGAGATGGGGAAAGTCAAAGAAGGAAAAACAAAGGTCAGTTGCAAACCCAAAAGTTTCAGCAACAGCCATATGCAACATGCACTATTAGCTAGAGACCACAAGACAAGCACGCCGTTGCAGGCAAGACCACAAGTAGAAGTCAAACAGGAAAAGAGCAAGCGTAAAGGGTCCCTACACAATGCTAGGAAGTGATCCTTGCACTGGCATGTGGACCAAAGGATTTGTGTCCCTACAAGCCAAGAGTTATCAATTGAAAATTTGTGACGTCCTTGTGGTTAAGGTAGGCTTGAGTTTAAAACAAAACCTATGAGATGTAGGTCAGATTTTCTTATCCAATGACTAAACAGAAAAAAATAATAATAATGGTATCGCCTCTGAGTTTAACTATATAAGACAAAAAAAATTGAAGGTATTGCCTTTGTGCTTAAATACCAGTATTGTTGCAACCAAAGTGAATAGTATTCATGTCATTAAGCAAGTCTATGAAGAAGAATATGTATTCTGTCCAAATTTGACCCTCATAATGACCAATGTTTAATTGGGATTAGATATCTAGTAGTCATAGATAGAGATGTGTCACTAACCCAACTAACATGGAATGGTCTAAGATGTGACTCAAGCTACAAATTAGCTCTCATGAGTTCTTAAATGAATATAAAATTCCTTGCATTGCCAAAATCAATAACTAATACACATTTTTTTCTCATTTCAAATGTTATAAATATGAGAAAATGCTACTATACTTCAAAACAAAGAATCAAATTCATCTATTTTTTAAATCAAGAAGGCATACAGGAAGGTATTCTTTGAAGTGTAAACATAAAAGATAAACCCACTTTATATTTATTGCCTAAGTAGTATCATAAACTTGCCAGCAATCTACCAATAATGATCGGCACTATTTGTTCTCGTTAACATGTCTTCAAAAGTGTTTAAATGGTCACTTACTTGCACTGTGCGTTGACGTAATATGTGGAGTTGTCCATAGAAACTTTTGAGATAATGCTAAGAAATTAGATCTTAACATTTTCTTCATTTCTATCCAAGTTATTGTATATCTTATTCTTTTGCTAATAAATTATTTTTGTGCATTTTAACCTTTCCTATTAATTTCATTTTAGAAAACTTTTCAACAATCAACCATCATGTATCAATTAAAAACCACCCATATAACCGAGTCAATTTGATATTTTTGAATAAATGAACAATAAATTTAGATTTATTTTTAATTTTAGTATATGGGTCATCAAAAACCAAAATTTATGTTTAGATTGGCGTCTCTAGATAGACAGTTTCCAAATACTTTCATCCCAATGATGTCATGCAAATCAAGTTCAATGTGTACAACTCTGTCGGCATCATTAGTGTTAGACGTTAGAATTCTTTTTAGATCTGCTTTATATTGCAAGAGATCAAATATACCGTCAGCACTTTTCATTAAATGGCAGTTGGTATTATGCAAATTCTGAAGTTCGTCTTCAATGCTTGTTTTGTAACATGGGACATTTTGATGCAAGTCCTCGAGTTGATTTTGGAGGTATGATGTTAAGCACACAAACGTTGTAAAGTAAATTTGATTTTGAAAAATATGTTTATGTAGTAAAGTAAATGCAATTGGATGAAAAAAAAATGGGGATCATTAGCACTGACTAGTATGTATTACTGTTAAAATAGAACCCTTTTAGTTATTCTTATTGATGCAAGGAGGGGTATAAATACCCACTACAACATCTTCTAGTGAGGAAACAAATAATAAACAAAATAAAAGGAAAAAGGAAAGTAAATAAAAGCAAATCAAAGCAAATAATACATAAATTTGTATATTCATATTCTAATATTCTAATACTCTCCCTCAAGTTGAAGCATAATGTCAGTCATGTTCAAATTGGATTTAAAATCATTGAATAATGGTAGATAAATGTTATTTATGAAAATATCTGTCAACTAGCCACTAGATGACACTAACAAAACACAAATTTCATCAGACTCGAGCTTTTCCTTAATGAAGTGACGATCAATCTCAACATTCTTGGTGCGATCATGCTGGATAGGGTTGTGAACAATATTAATGACAGTCTTATTATCACAGAACAACTATAAGGGAGCAGTGATTGTCAAACATTTCGGGGAGCATGATGTGTAACCAAAGAACTTCACAAATTCCCAGAAACATGGACCAAAATTTGGCTTCCGCACAGCTCTGAGCAACAACAGACTGCTTCTTTCTTTTCCACGTGATCAAGTTTCCCACAAAAATAAGCAATACTCCGAGGTAGATCACCGATCATGGGCGTACCCGACCGAATTTGCATCTGTGTAAACTGCAATAAACAAAAGGTGTGACAGGAAAAAACAAACCTTAGCCCAGAATGCCTTTTAAATAGTGGAGAATCCGATGGTCATCTTGGGGATGGTGCTCATAGGAACCATGCATGAATTGACTGACTATCCAAATTATGTGGCATATGTTGGGGCGTGTATAGGCAATATAGATAAGTTTCCCTGCCTAACGCTGGAGTGAGTTTTGTTTACAGGAACCACATTGGGAATAACAATAAGTTTTTCATTGGGATGCATAAGTACATCCACTGGTTTACACATGAGAAGATTATTCTCTGTCAAAAGGTCAATCACAAATTTCTATAGAAACAGAAAAATATCCTGAGATGACCAAACAACTTCCATAGCTAAGAAGTATCAGAGAGATCTCAAGCCCTTCATTTCAAAGGAAGCAGCAAGTAGAGTTAGTCTACTCGCTTAGGAGTTCTAATTATCCTCCCCGAACGACAATTCTAAATAACACACACAACAGAGGAAAAATGAGCAATACAAACAATGTCATATGTTAATCTACTGATAGATAAAAGATTACAATTCAACAGAGGTACGTGTAAGGCAAATTCCAAAGTTAGACCTGTTGTTAATATAACAGACCCTTTACCAGCAATAAAACTTTGGGACCCGTCAACATTTTTAACAGTATCTTTTCATGAGCAAGGATAATATTTCGAGAAGGCTTGAGAGCTTCCAGTTATGTGGTCTTTGGCACCTGAATCAATGATCTATAGACTAGGAGCAAAAGAAGTGAGACATAGGATTGATACATTGACGAACGTGGGAGGTCGATAGGCCATAAGAGAGTGGACTGGATCCAAACAGCCTGATTAAGTGCTCCATTTGACGTTTAAGAGAGTTAGATGAATCCAAATTGTTTTGAATAGAAGTCAGTTGTACTGTATTGGACTCAAAAGATGTAGCGAGACCCTTGACAACGAAAGATTTGGCCGAAGATTTGGATGTAGGTTTCCCGAGGAGCTTCCAACATTTATCACGTGTCGTTCGGCTTGTGACAGTAATCACAAGAGGGGTGACCAGTCCGGGGTTGAGCACTATTAGAGACCAAGACGGATCCTTCGACAAACGAAGTTGACGCACCAAGCATGACAAGTCTCTTGCTCTCTCCATGATGAATCTCAAAGAAAGCAGCACAGGTAGAAGGAAGAGGATCTTGGCCAAGGATACGGCCCCGGACTTCGTCAAAATCTTTATTGAGGCCTACAAAAAATTGGAACATGCAATCCTTTTTGACAATTTTTGAAAGAGAGATAGGTCGGCCGGATATTCCTAAATATAGTCATAATACAGGTTGCATTTCATCCATAATGCAACAGGGTCATTGCAGTAATGGGTCACGATCCTTGATTCTTCTTTTGCCTCACGAATTTTCTTAAATACCTCATAGAGTTGGTTGAAATTCCCTACATCTATGTAGGTATC